AGCCACCGGCGGCACTTGATGCCAACCTGCCGGCACCGTGGCAAAACCCGAGCACCGAGTTCGAGCCTGCCACGGGCAGAGGCCGAAGCCGGGGCCCGCTCCGGCAGATCTGCAGGGAGCCGGCCCACGCGCGCTGGGCACAACGCACGGACGGGGCGCAGGGCCAGAGGCGAAGGGTGTCGGGGCCCGAGCCCTGCCCCGGTGCCCGCCGCCTTCTGTAAATAAAAAGCTTCGATTGCCGTTGGCCCCTGGCTCAGCGAGCGCCGGAGCGGCCCGCGCGGGAGGGAGACGGGGGCAGGTTTCTACCTTTATTCAGAAAAAAAACTCTCTCAGTGTAAAAAAAACAAAACAAAACAAAAGAATCAAGACAAAGAAGCCCCCGGTTAATTAACAGCCACCCCAGGCGGTCGCAGAGACTGGACAGGCGCGGGGCGGCGGCACCGCCTGGCAGGGAGGAGCGGAGGCGCGGAAGGGGCAGGAGCGAGGGGGGAGCAGACGGGGAAGGGGCAGGCGTGGGGGAAACCCTCATGCCCACGGTGGGTCCACCGCCCCCTGCACCCCCACCTCTCTTCAGGGCTGGGGCCTGCCCCACACGCAGCCCAGCTGCTCCCAGGTGACGCCGATCCCCTGCCTCCCGCTCCGGGGCACCTGCCCCACCAGCCCAGGCGCCCAAGGCCATTTCCAGGGGTGCAATCAGGCAGCTGTTGCTCCCAGCCCCCTGACAGGGGGGAAGCCCGGGGGAAGGAGGGATAGGGGGTGCCCGCATCTTTCACTACTCGTTTGCATTAATTATTCTGATAAAATGAACAAGTAAAACAGCAGGTGCAGCCGAGGCCCCGTCGCGGCGCGGGGAAGGAGGGTTGGGGGGAGGCGGCGGAGCGGAGAGCGCCCCGCGGGCAGCTCAGAGCACGTAGGAGCTGGTCATCAGGTGTTCCTTGTCGTCCAGCGGGCTCCAGCCGTGGCCGGCGGCGCACTCGGGGCCCTTCCGGCAGAGCTTGGCGAAGAAGACGACCACGGAGCCCAGCAGCACGGCCGCCATCAGAGCCAGCAGCACGGCCAGGGCGACGGCTGGGGGGAGAGGCCGCGGGGTCAGGCGCCGCGAGACCCCGGACACCCCAAATCCCCCACCCAGGGGATGCTCCTGCACCCCGAGTTGCTCACCTCTGGTGGAGTGGATGCTGCCCTCGTCCAGGTCACCCGACGCACCTGGGGAGGGGAACCACGGGGCGAGTTGGCGCTGCCCTGCGCCGCCCCCGGGAGAACCGAGCCCCCAGGTCCGTCCGGCCCCTTTCCCCCCACCACGGGCCCAGCCCTCGGGTGCATCTGGCTGGACTCCCAGTGCCCACACGGGGGGGAACGATGGGCCCGGTGTGGGTGCTATTTGCCCCCCCACCCCCCCTCACCTGGGGGCCAGCGGCAGGGGC